GGACTGACTGACTGACTGACTGACTGACTGAGTTGGACTGACTGACTGACTGACTGACTGATTGACTGACTTACTGAGTTGGACTGACTGACTGACTGACTGTTTGACTGACTGACTGACTGACTGACTTGGACTGACTGACTGACTGACTGACTGACTTGGACTGACTGATTGACTGACAGACTGATTGACTGACTGACTGATCAACTGACGGAATGACAGTCAAATCGAAGCTTTCAGTTAAAATCTAGTCGTGATCTTGATGTTTATTTTTAAAACATATAATAAATGAGAATAAATTACCCCAAAACCCAGCTGATCATAAACATAAAAACACTAATTTACCTCCACAACTCTTCCTTGCTGAGCTTCCTAGTGATAGCGATTGTATCATTCGATATGATGACCTGAAACACGAACAAAACAATATTTAAAGCAAGATAGATATCAGTTACGTGAATCTTGACTACGTGTACAAAATATTTCTTCTGAGTCCTGAAGGGAATTATTGAATGACGCTATCAAAAAAATGAAGACGAGAGTATGATTCCTAAGACTCTGGGTTACCAAAATAAGTTTTATATCTGGTTTTAGCATCATTGGAATGGTTAAAAACAAGATATCGAATCCAAATTTTTCAGAAAGCCGGTATGAAAATGGCTAGTTGTTGTCGGGAAAACCATTCAAGACATCTAAACTACATCTAATAAAAGGACCTCGTCATAGACAAGCCGGGTAATTAACGCAATGAAAGGAAAATTTAAAGTCTAATGATCATCTTGTTAGATTCCAACGTCGGAGGATTAGAGATTTCGAAGAAAAATTCTCGAATGAAACACTGACCACATTCCCTTGTTCGTCCGCCATCTTGAAAGATTTAAAAACTGGTTTCGAGAAGTACTGGTGACAAGGACGGGAGGTCGAATCAAGGTTGGTGGTCGGATCGTGGTAGGACGAATTGGTCGGACTCGTCTTCCAATGGCCATGGATTACCATAGATAGTAAACGAGACCTATCATCGAAGATAAAATCATAGTATTTTCGTTGTGCTATCAATTATAGTTTTACCCTCTAGTATTTAAAAAGATTTAAAAATTATCGCCAAGTTTCTTTTTCGACCTTCAATTTTTAATCGATCCAGGCTCTGACAGTTTAAGAAATCTGAATACAAGCTAGATACAACGATCATAAAAACATATTTTAAATTTTAGTTCGAGAAGACTATTTTCCTTTCTTAGTACCGAAACTGCGCTTTCCACTATTATATGTCAGTAGGGCGTGTCCAAACAGTGATAGTGGGCTGTTTGCTGGGGTAAGTCGTTGTTCCACGAGCGGCTTCCAGACAACTAAATCCCATACAGGAATTGTCTTGCACCAAAAGAGAGTCCTACTCTGTCACTTACCTTTTTTCGTCCAGACGTAATGTTAATTAATAAGTACGGTATTCAGTTTAGAATCAACAAATCTATCATGGCTAGCGAAAAAAACCATATTCTCAAAATTCCAGAGACTAATTTGGCTACCTCTTTGTAATAGATAAACTAAAGTGTTATCCAATGTGAAAGGAAGGAGAGAAGGATGGTCAAATAAGCCTAAATTCTATAAACTCTATGACAGTTTCAAAATAATTATTTCCGAAATTTTGTTCTTTTTGTTAATAAATTATCATTCTTTCCCCTTCAGTGACTTCGTGTTTATTATCGGGTTTCTTTAAAAACTATTTAAGAGATAATATTTTGGTAATTTTATAATCCATGCTAGTGATTTCGACCGCCTTCCGGATGGCTTCCGGTCGGCCAGGCCTAGGTTGAGCGAGGGCAAAGGCTTGTGGGATCTAAGCTCTCGGCAGCCATCTTGGGGCATTCCACGAGGCCGGGAACGAACAGGAAAAATTACTTCAACAACCTGCTATAGTGGGTATAAGAAGCTATGCCCACTTCACAACCACTACCGCCTAAAGAGAATGCTCTCTTCAAAAGGATATTGGTTAGTTGTTTAAAATAAATGCTGCTTGCCTTGCCCAAATAACCGGGTAGCGCGACCTGGGATGAAGACCGTCCAACCATCCGTATAAAATGCTTTAGTTTTACTAGTAGACAGAATTATGACGGCTTTGTTTCCTGTTGCAGAGATGCTACGAGCAAAAGCAGTACAAAAATGGCCTCAAGTATGCCAAACAGATCCTCACGAATCCAAAATTCTCTGATCATGGAGGTGAGTTTGTTGTACAAAATGTTCATCCAAACTCATTGCTAAGCTTGCTATCTGGCTTAAAATTCACGATCACGTGCAAGTTTTGTCACTTTTAGACTAGATGTCTGGCTTCTGTTGGTTAATGCTAGTTTGTTGTTAATCCACCCAGAAACGCTTGCTATGAAAGGGCTGACTTTGAACTGTCTTGGACGTAAAGATGAGGCCTATGAGCACGTCAGGAAGGGTCTGAAAAATGACCTCAAAAGCCATGTGTGTATCCTTTTTGTATTCATTGGAACTACAATCCTTCCAATCATTACCTAATATATTAATTATATATTATTGGCATCTCTGTTAGAAAATGCAGGGCATGTAATCCTAATAAATACAGGTGAAGAATAGAGCTGGGATTAGTTTTGTTGACAATGCGGAATGGGATTTAGGTCACTAGGAATGAAAAATAAATTTGCTATTTGCTGGGATTTATCTAAATTTTCTTTCTGATATTGCCAAAGTTTAGTCTGGGATTGGGACAAAGTCATTTTCTTGACATTTGGGATAATATTTATGTTGGCAGACATGTTGCATGTTCCCGTTCCTTGACATGAAATATAGGTTGGCATGTTTTTGGCCTGTTGCAAAGGTCTGATAGAAAGTACGATGAAGCCATTAAGTGCTATAGGAATGCACTTAAATGGGACAAGGCAAGTTACTGTCAGTCATTTAGAATGATACCTACAACAAAGCTAAGATTGATTTCACACATGCTATGCCGTCAGGGTTTTCATTAGTTTTGAAATAATAGAAGATCTTTAACTGCTGGAGAGTCCTTGGGACCAAGTGAACATTATATGAATTACTAAACTATTAATGGAAGTCTGAGCCAGAGGATTTACCAGAGCATTCTCTGACTTCAGACCACAAATGAAAACCCTGGCTATTCAATGGTTTTAATTCATTTTATATATTATATGTTGGTAACTTTAAAGGCATGGTACCATGCAGAAGTTTTATTTAGCTTTACTGCAATACAGCATTATGATGCTTTGCAGTTCTTGACAGATATTTTTTAATGATATTATTTTTGGCTTTACCTTTGTATTCCCTACTGAAAGTAAAGGAATTTTTCCTTGTGAATAACAATAAATAGAAATAGTTCTTAAAAGAAAAGCAAAGCAACTAAGCATTTGTAGTATTTTTGGTATTGAATCATCATTTTGCTAAAGCAGGTGCATTTTGGACTGCCATTATAGACCCCTCACACTGGGTCCTGAGAAGAATTGTTCTGAAATTGTTCTAGACAAAACATGGATTTTTTGTGCATAAAAAAGGTGGCCTACTGTTTTGTCCCCCAGAGCAATATTATTCTTCTAGGAAATCAATACGAGGCTTTTACAAGAACACCACATAAAACCATGTTGAACACTTTCACTTGTACTTAAGATACACTACAATTAGTCCTGCTTGCTGTCTCAGATAGGGACTAAGGAAAAAATTAATTATGTTTTGTAATTTTATAGGAAAATATTCAAATCCTAAGGGACTTGTCACTGCTGCAAATCCAGATGAGAGATCTTGATGGATATAGGGTAAGTAGAACTGTATACGTATTGATAAACCTTAAAGATATAATACCCTTTGTTCTCAAGATTCATTTATAGAATATTGACTCCCTACTCCCTATGCCACCTTTTTTCTCCTAAGTATATATGTAGTTCACCAACCTAACAACTCTCATGAATTGGGTGTGTTTTTTCTCCTAGGAAACAAGATACCAACTCCTCGTACTGCGACCAGGTCAAAGAGCATCCTGGATTGGCTATGCCATTTCCTATCATCTTCTAAAGGATTACGATATGGCATATAAAATCCTGGAAGAATATAGAAAGACCCTTAATGTAAGAGTTCATCTTTAATATGTGTGATCATGCACAAAACAAAGGAAATGGAGAGCCCAGTGAATATATAAAGGAATGGACGCTCTTACAATTAGCGTTGATGCAAGGCTTACATGAAAATAGAAAAAGAAATTCCCTAGGGCTTTCAGAATGTTTTGGAGTAGATGGTCATAGTTTGAAGTAGCTGGCTGTGATTTGATAAACGGAATAGAAGACATTTTATAGAAAAGAAAAAGTAGTTGGTGGTTAACTTCAAAGCAACCGCTGGAGCTCCAGCAGCTGCTGTTTTATTCCGAAAGCCCTGATTCCATCAAGAGAAAGCGTGGTCAATTTTGTTTGTATTTTCATATTAGCCTAAGATGATTGTGACAGGGGCTGGTGGTGTTTATTCTTTTATTTCCCAAACCTTCTATTCTGCATGCTTTGTTAGTGGTCACTTAAATTATTTTTAAAATGGGCTATTGGCAGACTATATCCATCAAGCCGTCGACCGCATGAGTAGTAGTCTGGGGTCTTCCCCTCATTTTTCATCTTTTTCTCTTACAGATGTCTCTGTCCAAGATGGATATTGAACATAGTGAGCTTCTTCTTTATCAAAATATGGTGTTGAAGGAGTCTGGACAGTTAAGAGAATCTTTGAAATATCTAGATGATAATGATCAGTTGATTTGTGACAAGCTGACAGTGAAGGAAATTAAAGGTAATTTTAAGGTGGTGATAGCTGTTATCAGTTGTTCCTATATGACACTATCCAATGGGACTTGAGTTCAACACACTATAGAATTGAGCTGTCAATTAAAACCATGCATTAATACTCATATCCTGTCACCAACTGAAGGAAAGATATCACTTTTTAAAACATTAGATACATTTAAGTCAACCTCTTAAGCTGGTTAACTTTGAACTATTATTGAAGAGAGGATATGAGTAAAGAGAAGGGAAGGGAAGGGAAGGAAATGAGAAAGAAGAGGAGAGAGAAAGAAGAAAAAAGTACGAAAGAGAAAAGAAAAGAAGAAAAGAGACGAGATGAGACAAAAAACAATGTTAACTTTTACTTTCAGGTGAGATTCTTATGGAATTGAAGGAATTCAAGCAAGCTGAGGAAATTTACAGAGATCTTATCAAGAGAAATCCAGAAAACCATTATTATTATAAACAGCTAGAATTAGCCCTCCAATTAGGTAAGAAGTTATGTTCAAAATCTTTACAATATATTTAGCTTAATACGACTTCCAGACTGTTTTGGAAGTTTCAAAGGTCTCAGAAATGTGGAAATAGCTGCGAGAGTGTAATGTGTTGAATTAGCTGTTCTGATTTTTTTGAGGAAAAAACTGGGTTTTGTTGGTATTATTATAGTGCATTCTGGGATTTTATAGCGACAAAATAGATGCCATCTTGGAAAACCATCCAAAAGTGCAATGTAATGCCAAATAGACACATTTCTCCCCTCAACTAGAATGGTCAATATCTTAACTTCATGTAAGATGGTTGTTTTATATTCAGATAATGCTGAAGACAAACTTAACATGTATCTTGAATACTCGTCACTTTACCCTAAGGCAACAACTCCCAAGAGATTGCCTCTAAACTTCACAACTGGTAAGTCAACTCTTTGTGATATTAAAAGTAATGCAACAAACTTTTAAAATCGCAGAATTTAGTGAAATTTAATAATGGACTATTTAAAAATTATGACAAACTATTTTTAGTTTGGTTTGGTAATAAGTAAACAAGAGAGGTCTCTCAACCACATTAGCAATGGTTCAAATATCCCATTGGGCAGTACCTCAGGAACTAGTTGACGTTTTACACTTTGGGACGAATATATTACTTTACTGTGAAGTGATTCATTGATGTGCATTACAATGCTATATACATTTACTGCAGTTTTGCTGCGAACTCAGACATTTCAATAGCTTGTTGTGAAATTGGCCTTTTACTGCTACCAGTCAAGAACACAAAAAGGTATACCGATTCATTATTTTTGATTGACAGCAGTGAAAAACCATTTCAAGGTGTAGCTTATAACTACCAAGTTTGCAGAATATCAAAAACTGCAGTAAATGAAAATTAAAAAGTTGTGTGCCCTTGAAGCATTCTGACAATATTTGATGCTGTATTGGCATGTACTGCTGCTGTTTTATGTCATTTACTTTCCTCCCATCCAGGTGAAACATTTGCTGGCCTTGTAGACAAGTACATGAGACCAGCCATCCACAAGGGAGTTCCTCCCCTGTTTAATGATCTCAAATCCTTGTATGCTGATAAAGAAAAGGTTTCAATTCTTGTTAATGTTTTCAGTATTGATTCCACATAAAGTGAATATTGGAATGGTAAAAAAATTTCATAAGAATTGAGTGATGCATCTTAAAGACATCAAGGTTTATATTTCTAATATGGTAATGAGTGTCAAATATTACCATTCAGAGATTCACTTTATATAGAATCAATACTGAAAATATTTAGTTAGGTGGTGTAGGCCATAAAGATTAGTGCTCATGATAATAACCAGCTATCAGGGATCATCAATCAAATCACAAGATTGCAAGAAGCTTTGATTTAGAGTACCAAAGTAATGATATCACAAACATCTTTTAAAGAACTTTAAGATTTTGGTGACATAATCAGAAGCATTATGTACAAATATGATATATTGTAGAATTTCAGCCTACTAATAGAGTGAAAAATGCCTGAGATATAGGCAATTTCATTCAAAAATATCCTCTTAACAGCCTTAAAGTTGGCAGAAATGTAGGCATTATATGTATGTTGTGTTCTCTTCAATTAATATGAACATTTCAAAACCGAATTGCAAAAGTAAGATTTTGATGACGTCACACTTCAGGTACTCCATTGGGCGAGGCTAACTATGGGGGTGTCTATACCTTCCTTCTCCTCCCTCCCCTCTTCCTTCCCCTCTTCCTCTCATATCTCTCATCTTCATTTATCATGGATTCTGAACCAACAAGTACTGGTTGTATTCAAACGATGAAATGGCATTTCATACACAGACTTCTTTATCCTTATTATTTTCTTATGCATGCTTCTACCTCTGACAATACTCCCTGTGCAAATGAATCCATTAGGAAGATTAATAAACAGGCTTTAAATCTGCAAGAAATATGATCTTGTTTAGATTGATATTTTTATTGAATGTCTTTAGGGTAAGATCATTGGTGATACTGCATTTAGGTATCTGGAAAACCTTGAAAAATATAGTACACTAGGTGGAAAAGGTATGTTATGATTATAGCTCTGGGGGAAAAAACGTCCCTGAAGACACTTCCCTATTCAACTGTATGTGAAACTCATTACCAATGAAAAATGGGGGTTACACAATAATAACTTATTATCTGCAGTAATTATTTGATGTCATAATTGATTCCCAGAGACCAACCATTTTTCCTTTCTCTAATTAGCTTCATAGGTCATTAAACAATGGCTACAAGTTGAGGTTGGACTTGATGGATTCATATATTTACTGTATTTTATCAAGTCCAGCCTTGACTTGCAACCATTGTTTGAGGGTTGCTCAAGCCAATTTTGGAAGGTCTATTAGTGTACGTAATCATATGGAATGATTAGAATTAACGATTCATTTCACTTGTCTTTTCAAAGTTTTGAAACTGCCTGGGTCAGGGAAATTACTTTTTAACATATACAGGACAAAATTCAACAACAAAATTCCAAGTCTTTCTAGTAACTTGGCCCTGATCGAATTTAAGAAAAAAGGTCTCCAAGCGCTAGCTTGGATTGTGTCATGGTCACCAAAAAGTTCGGACATCATTCTCGGATTTCCATACAAATTCACGGACTTGTATGGAAATCCGAGAACAATGTCCGAACTTTTTTGTGACTGTAACACAATCCAAAATAATTCATACCACGTGACAGCTAGCACTTAAAAGGTGAATTAAACCATCCCAAGCATGAGGTTGTTCCTCATAAATCTGCACCATCCCTTACCATTTTCATTTGTTTTTTCTTTTTTAGGTGGAGATTTGGAACCACCTACAGCAACACTTTGGACATTGTATTTCATTGCTCAACATTATGATTACTTAGAAAACACAGAAAAAGCTTTGGAATATATAAATCGTGCTATTGACCATACACCAACTCTCATTGAAGCCTATATGATCAAGGCAATGATATATAAGGTAAAGCATGACATTTAGTAACAACTGTCATGGGAATGTCTTAGAAAATATAAAACAATTTTGACATACATGGGAGTCTTGTTACCTCAAACTTCCTCAGGACTCAGAGCTCAAAGTAATAGCCGATCAGTCACCATTCATGATCACAGGCCAAATTAAGTTTAAGCTTAGTCATACCTCATTTCTGGCTAAACGTTACTGGTCAAAATGACCAGCAAGGCAAAGATTTGACTGGACCAATCCCAGTTCTGGACAGACATTGTCCGATGTCCGTCAGTTATTTAAGCCCTGGGACAGGGACAAGGTTCAAAATAATAGAGGGGGTTCGAGATATCCAGGGTAAAAATTTGTTATAGTGATGGAATTCCACATGACCTGGCCTTTACTGAGATAAGAGAATCACGATATCTGGGGTTTGAGAAAACAAGACTTCAATTTATAATGTAATGTAAACATGTTTTGTCTCTAGTAAAAAATGCAAAATTTGAAGAAATAAAATGAAATTCATTTCACAGCATGCTGGTGATATTGATAAGGCAGCAGACATAGTCGATGAAGCCAGAGCTCTGGATACTGCAGACCGTTATGTGAACTGTAAATGTGCTAAGTATCAGCTTAAAGCAAATCAAGTACAGAAAGCTGAAGAAACTTGTGCTATGTTTACCAGAGTAAGTCTTAACACTCAATAACTTTATCTGGATTATCTAGCCAAAACAAGTGCCAATTTGATGGAACCCTGAAACAACCACTGGGCTGATCTACTGTAAGCCGGGGCAAAGATAACTCCCAGATAAAACCCTGAGACAACCTTTGATCAAATCTAAGTCAGGAGTGGCTAACCTGTTAATCAAATGAATATAGCTTGTTGGGTTATGTAGAGGATAAACCTGAGAATTTAAAGTGCACATGAACCCTTCGACAATACTTTCAGTACTGATTCTACACGAAGTAAATAGTTGA